CGGCGGCCAAGCTGTGGCTGGGGCTGCACGACCTGGGCTCCGAGGGCTCCTGGGTGGACGCGAGCGGCGCGCCCGCCGCCTTCGCGCGCTGGGAGACGGAGATCACGGCGCAGCCCGACGGCGGCACGGCCGAGAACTGCGTGGCCATGGCCGGGGAGGCGCACGGGCGCTGGTTCGACGAGCGCTGCCGGGACGAGCTGCCCTACGTGTGCCAGTTCGCCATCGTGTAGGGCCAGGCCGGGGCGGGGCGGGCGGGAGACCCAAAGCCCGGGCCCCCTCTTGTGCCCTTTGCAAATAAAGTTGGTGCCACTCGGCGGAGAGCTGCTGCAGTCTGTTGTTTGTCTGGGGCTCGCGCAGCGGGCGCGGCGGGTAGTGCAGGAGCCCGGGCCCAAGAGCAGGGCGGGCACGAGGGAGGGCGGCTGGGGGGGATACCAAAAAGAGGGAGGAGAGGGCGAGGGAAGGATGGAAACAGGGGACTCCGGCCTGCTGTCTTCTTTGTTCTTTTTGCGACTTAAATGTTTTTTTCTGGTTTTGTTTTTTTAACAGTTTTGTTCATTTGTTTTTGCGGCTTAAATTTTTTTTTCTTTTTCGTTTATTTCTAGACAGGGTTTCACTAAACAGTTCAGGCCGGCCTTGAACTCTCAATGATCCTCCTGCCTCAGCCTCCTAAGTCACGCTGGTGACTTTATTTTTACATAATTTCAGACTTCCAGGAAAGCAGTGAGAACTTCCGATTCCCGACGTATCCTCATTTCCTTCTGCTCGCTTTGTCCTTTTACTACTTGGGCAGTAAATGCAGACGGATGCCCCTTTACCCCAGGCGCTCAGGGTTTCCCAGAAACAGAGATCTCTCCGGAAGCACATTCGGGCTCTCACAGCCAGGCCACACCTCCGGCTCCAGGCTGCTTCCGTCCCTCGGGGTCCCCCGCCGTCTCCCGGGCGCCGTGCCTGGGCTGCTCCGCTGAGCTGCGTCCAGCAGTGGGTGGCGGCGGAGCGGGGAGCAGCGCCGCCCAGGGGGATTTGCGCCCTGCGCTGGGGCAGGCGGGACAGGCGCCCCAGCTCTCCAGCGGCCCCTCCCTGCCCTCCCGAAAGTGGCTGCCCGCACAGGGGCGCCCACTATGGAGCCACCTCGCTGCGGGCACCGAAGTGCGGGGCTCGGCCGGATTCACTCACGCAGGGCGGGCCGCGGTCGCCGTCATTTTGCAGAGCAGGAGCGGGACCTGGGGAGCTGTGACCCGCGTGGCGGCCCCGGAGCAGACGGCCCAAGGCGGCCCTGCCCGGCGGCACCGCGATCGCCCGCCCGGACCCGTGCATCACCAAGGGCGGGAGCAAGACA